TATCTATCTATCTATCTATCTATCTATCTATCTATCTATCTATCTATTTGCCACCCATCTTGTTTTGAAACAACTAGTACATCCATCCACTATGAAATTCCCTTTATTCATAGGCCCAATCCTGTTGTAGGTTTTACTAACATTACACCAGATTTTGAAATACTTATTTTATTTTGAAAGCTTTTAAGGGGAAATAGTTTTAAAATCTGATCCCTAAGTTTAGCATTTTTAACTGTTTTATCTTGTCTTGGGTTCTCCTTGGAGGTTCTAGCAAGATTCCAGTCTTAAAATAAATAGGCAAGTCTGCTTATTTGCTAAATAACCCCCGATGGATGTTTCCAAAGTGCCATACAACTGTCTTGGTTAAACTTTTTTTTTTTGCTTATTTCCATTAGTCCTTTCCCTAAGTCCCAGCTCTTGCCCTGCACTTCACGGTAATCCATGCAGATTTTTTTTTTAAGTGGAAGAATTTAATTTAAGAATCGAAAAGAATCCCTTAACAACACAAAACCTTGCTTATTCCATTTTATCCCTTTCACCCTCTTGCAGGGTGGCTAAAACAAAGGCTTATATTCTTAAAAGCCAAAAGACCCTGAGAAGGAAGTGTCAGCAGGTTTGCTGTACTGTGGAGAAAAAATACAGTATGGTTTCTAAGAAGATTTAGAAAGCACTTTGAAAAGATCCGAAGATTTGTTTTGCAGGCTACAGGGTTAGCTAGATGAGGTTAGGTAGATTGTTGTTTTTACCTGGCCTTGATTATGAACTGCCTGGAGTCCTTTGTTAAAGTGGGCAGTCTATAAATAATTGCATAAATAAATGTGTCAGAGTAACTTAACTCTGTTCTGCTAAACCAGGGACATTCTAATGTTACTAATTTGTTTTGGGAAGAGTTAGTACAAAGATAAATATATACTCAGGCTAAGGGCTAATTTATATTTCACCAGCAGTGACATGAGGAGCTGCGGTACTATAATGTGACAGTTCCTATATCACTTTAGATGATTTCCCTACTCCCTAAAGCAATGCCTATATTTCATTCCAAGATATACGAGAAGCAATGTTGGAGGTGTCATAAAGCAGTATTTCTTACACCATTGCTGGTAATGGGTGAATTATTTCTACTGCAGCCATTCATATGCATCTATTTTGAGGGAATTTGAAAGACGTGTTATTCTATCAGCCTGCTATCAGTTGTCAAGCTGCTTTCTCAACAGTATTTTCTCTTTCTCCTGTCAGGCTGCTTGCTCAATAATATCCAGCTGGTCATAAGAACCACCATTTTAAAGGTGCTTATTTTTCTACAAAAGACAACTGGACTGTTGTTGTTTTTCCTTAAGGAAGAAGAAGAAAATGTTTTGCTTCTCACCCAAGAAGGATTCACTTCTGACCCAAGAATAAGACGCCACCTGTCTCCAGTTTTTAATGCAGCAACAGTTCCAATGTCAACTAAAAAGATACTCCTTTGGTCTTTTTAGCTGCCAGGAAAGGGAGTGGGGGAAAACAAGGCATTCCTTAAATGCCTAGATAGTCACCCTGGCAGCCCAAAGTTGTTGGAGGTAAGAAGGTTATTGGAGAGCATGATGGATGACTCTTGGAGATGGATGTCTCCCATTGGAGAAGTCACATCCAGGGGGTAGGGGGAAGACCAGGGTCCAAGGGGGAATGTATGATGTAATTTAGTACCAGCTGCACCCAGCTAAATGCCAACATGGCCACTTAATTAATTTTCACAATTAATTTTCTTTTCTCTGAGAGGTGGCTAGAGACTTTTGATTTGATTGGGGGTGTATTTGTTGGAGCTGTGACATCCAGGAAGATTCCACAATTAGTTACACCCTGATTCAGGTAAGACATAAGACATAAGACATAAGAATTTATTTGTCATTACACTCGCAAGCGGGTGCAACGAAATGAGGTGCTCTTCCACAAGTAAAACTGGACAACACCATTGAAAGAAAAATAAAACTAAACACAACAAACCATACAATAATCTCTATACAATTTAAAAATGTAAATACCCCATTACTCTCAGCCATTAAATTCCACAAAAATCTTATGACCCTGCATTCAAACTCAAAACTGCACTTGGATAAAAACTGTTCTTAAATCTAGTCGTCCTTGTTCTTAATACCCTGAATGGTAATAGTTCAAAGAGCTGATATCCCAGATGAGAGGAGTCATTCAATATATTAAATATCTTCCTCTTACATCTATTCCTATACAGTTCTTCCAAAGAGGGGAGTGAGCAGCCAATGATGTTTTGGCCCATCTTAATCACCCTCTGAATTGCCTTTTTCTCTGCCACTGTGCAGCTCGAGAACCATACACAGAGACAGTAGGATAATATACTCTCAATTGAACTCCGATAGAAGGTAGACAGTAGACTCTCAGCCAGTTGCTGTTTCCTAAGAATCCTTAGTAAATACAACCGTGAGGTCATAGATAAACAAGTCTTAGAGAGAATGCTAATGTCCAGATGACTACAATGAAATACAATCCTTCCATCCCCACCATCCCCCGCCATCCTATCAGAACCCACCCTTCCATCTCTCCACCATTCAGTCTCAACTGTCAACTGTCCTTCCATCCTCCCCATTATCAGAACTGATGAAGCTTCTTGGATGAGAATTGAAACATTTTCTTCTTTTTCAAGGAAAAAAAAACTGTTCATCTGCCCTTTGAAGAAAAAAAGCATATTTGAGATAACTATGACCTGGATGATTGAGACTCTCCACAGACATTTAACTACCATTTTACTTTGAAAATTGATGCCTATGCTTGTTCTTTTTCCCTCCTTTTAGGTCATATATTTTAGATTGTAAGCTTACCTGATAAAATACGAGCTAGGCAGTTCCTATGGAATTCAGTAAACTATATAACTTAGAAACTCTGCATTCCTAAACAGTATGTGGCATTCCAACTCAACATCTAAAATTGTGATATCTTTGGAGACACAGAAGACATGGTTCTCTGATTATTCATTATTCTGTCCATCACTGCTTTCTTTGCATCAACAGGATGCTAACTTAAACCATATAAGTATACCAATATTTGCACTTGAGAATAATGCAAGTTTATCAGGTAAACCTGGGAGGTTGAACAAGGTATGGCAGACATGGATTTAACATACATCTCCCATTGCAGGAGATCCAGTGTTTATCAGGTGAGTTTTTTTTCCCACTCTGCAGGTATTCATGGACATAGAAGGACATATTTGCAATGGATTCACATGGTTATGTCACTGTTTTGAGATTCTGCAATGGTCATGTTTAGGAATATTAAAATGAGCTAGTTATTAATTGTGCAATGAACATTTATTTGCCATATAGGCAGATATGATTTGTTTTTTAAAAATCTGCATGCCATTATCCAAAATTATGAGGGCTGAAATGCAAATAACCTCACTTCAAAGTTTTCACAAATAGATGTGTCAGTGAGTCCTCTATTAAATCAGATACCTGTAGGTTTTAAAGCCTAACAGAATAAAATGGAATAAAGAGCTTGCCCCTAAACAGTATTGGTTAAAGCATTCTTTATTGCATTTTATAGCAAACAAACCCTAAGAAACATTGCCTGTGTTTTAAAAAGGATTGAAATAAGGGTATCTCAGCAGATAGTAAGTTGGTTATGTATTTTTAAAGTTCAAAGTTGGCCACCAATCATGAACTATAAATTCATGAAAGGATGTATCTACTGGAGTGAATTATCTTAGCCAACTGTTGCTGATTCCAGAAAGCTAAGCAGGGTCAGACCTGGTTTACAGTTAAGTGGGACAAATAACTGGGACCAGACTAGGAAGTCCCAAAGGAAAGTGTGGCAAGCTTCAATTGCTAAGAAAATGACATGGTGGTCCAAGAGTCAAGTGTGATTCTTGGATCCTTGATGTTACCATTGGAACAAAGGAAGGAAAAATACACAATTCTGACCTCGCTAGATTTCATGACACCAAACAGTGGATAGAGGAAAGCAGGAATGAGGGCTGCTGCTCCAAGGGGCACTGCTTCAGATACCCAATAGATTGCTGTGACGATCAGCACATAGGCACACGAGGCTTCCTGGGGAAGACATACAGGAATAATTAGGGTCATGTGAACCTTCTGAGCTGCAACTACTGGCTGATGAAATGATTCAACTGAGATGTCTAAAGTCATTTAGTTTACTTATTATCATTGTACCTTGTATAAATACCATCTTCAGTGTACATTAATAACTATAAAAAATAAAACACAAACACACATCCTTCACATTCTATACAATTGAATTGAAAACTTGTGATACCACATTAGTATTACACTATACAGTAGAATTCAATAGAGCTACTCCTCTGGGATAGAAGCTGTTTTTCAGCCTATTTTCCTTGTTTTTATTACCCTGCACCATCTGCCAGATGGTAATAGCTCTAAAAAAAAAAAAGAGTGCCCAGGATGAGATGGATCTTTAAGAATATTTTGAACTTTCTTAAGGCAGCGGGAGCTATAAAGCTCTTCTGAAGAGGGGAGAGGGCAACTAATGATCATCTGGGCAATGATGTTAACCTTCCTGCTAACAATGATGTTATAGCTTATGAATTGCTTCTTCAAGTTGTGCAGATTGGTTGTATTCAAGACACTCAATGTACACTGATGAGATTTGCCCCCAAACTTATAGATGACATCACCCAGTGGTTTCCTATAGATGTTAAACAAGAGTTTTAAGCCTGTAACACTCCACACTGTTGGGCTCTGGGTATAACATTTCCCCCTGTCAACTGCAATTAAAACTTGCCCAGGGAAAGGAGGATAATAATTACCACAAAATAGTGCCTCCCATTCACAACTGCTGAAGCTGGTCCAAAAGGCTGCTGTGATCAAAAATATTGAAACTGGCTGAGAGATCAAAGAACATCAAGATGAACTCATCACTTAATCTCAGCTCTGCCACAGGTTATTAATTAATGCAACCATTTTAATGTTTAAACACTTAACATTTGATGAGTTTCCTAACACAACATCTGTTTATAAACAAAAAAAATCAGATAACATTTGATTTTCCTAACAGTGAGAACAATTAACCAGTGGAACAGCTTGCCTCCAGAAGTTGTGGTGGGTGGGGGGTTGGTCTAGAAGATCTTCAAGATCCCTTCCAACTCTATTATTTTCTTATTCTGTTAATTTTTAATGCTTTAATCCTGTAATTATTTTAATTTCTTGTTTATGGTACTGTAAGATGCCCAGAGTAACTTGGTGGGGAAATGGATGGTATACAGATTTAATTAATAAATAAACCAATGGTCTCTCCAAAATGAACCCTGAAATGATACTGATATTTGGTTTCCTCCAAGGAAGCACAACCATCCTACCAGTACCTTCTCTAGAAAGGGGAATTTGGAGATGGGACAGAAATTGTCCAGGATGGTTAGGTTGAGTAAGTTAGGACTAACTAGAGGCAAGTTAAGACTGAAAGCACCATCACCCACACCAAGAAGTAAATATACTGTATGGATCCAACATAGGACACTTCCTGGGTGGCTTTAATCATGCAAGAAGAACCTGAACCTAATAGACAAATGACTAAGATCATCAACTGGAAGACCTTACCCATTTCCTCAAGAGTCACAAAATCAAACTTGTTCCAGATAACACTGCCCGTTAGAGCTTAGGAACAAATTCCAGTTTTTCATGAATTGACTCGTTTCTCAGCTCCACTCTGTAAATCTTACTTTATCAGCCAGTTTGAACTATGTTGCATATATTATATCTTTTCACACACTGTTCTGCAGTCTTTTCCTATTCAGGGCTGTATGCTGTTGTAAAGTAGGATATCTCTACACCTTGAATAAATCTTAATGTACTAATATATATAGTACAAAATATAGTGCATCCCAGAGGTTCATTATCTTTATTTACACTGAGGCAAGAAAATGGTAAAAAGAAATCAAGATCGCGATGGTGCAATTGAAACTCCAACTAGCTTTTATGTGTTACAGCATAGCACTTATGGAACAACCACACTTTTTTTCACCATAATTCACACAGATACAAGCACACTCTCACAATGCCAATACTATTAGTCATTCAAGAATACTCTTTCCACAGCTAGACTTAGCCAAGTGGCAGCTGCATGCTAAATCTGGATTTGACGGAATGAATGCTGCAGATCTTTCTATCAGTGTGACTACAGCTCTTACAAAGCAGTGAACAATAAGAAGATTACAAAAAGACTATTTTATTTTCATATTTCAGAAATGGGCGAGTCAGTCAAAAATCTTGAAATGTCCACTCTCTCCCCCCATTTTATTTCTTGATGGCATCCAACATAGTTACTCATCCGCCACAAGATGACTTCTGCTAAGTGAGCATCTACATCAGAAAGTGAGGCTCTACTGTTATTATTAATCTACTCCAACTCTTGTTTCTCCCTGGACTGAAAATCCTGGCATAAACTGCTTGGTGCAAAAGCAGTCTAAGTCACTCTGAGTTGCTTTAAAACTATGTTTCTCAACCTTGGCAACTTTAAGATCTGTGGACTTCAATTCCCAGAATTCCATGTGGTAATTCTTTCAAACATCCAATCCATTGAAAATCTCTTTGGAGTATGCTTTGGTATCACTATGTATGCCATCTTCTCTTAGCTTGATAAAATCAGTATTAAGAAACAAAGCCGCTTAAGTATGAGTTGTAAAGAGACAAGCTCTTGTGGTCCCAAACTACATCTCTAAGATGCAAACATACAAAAAGGCATTAAGAGTTGTTAACCTAATCCTACATAGCTTTTTCTCTGGTAATATTACACTACTAACTAGAGTATACAAAACATTTGCTAGACCAATACTCGAATACAGCTCATCAGTCTGGAACCCATATTACGTATCTGATATTAGCACAGTTGAGAAAGTCCAGAAATATTTCACAAGAAGAGTTCTCCACTCCTCTATTCATTGTAGAATACCTTATGCCACCAGACTTGAAATTCTAGACCTAGAAAACCTTAAATTATGCCGTCTTCGGTCTGATCTAAGTATGGTATATAAAATCATACATTGCAATGGCTGAATACTTCAGCTTCAGCCATAACAACACAAGAGCACACAATAGATACAAACTCAAGGTTAACTGCACCAAACTTGATTGCAGGAAATATGATTTCAGCAACAGAGTGGTCAATGTCTGGAATACTCTACCTGACTCTGTGGTTTCTTCCCCAAACCCCCAAAACTTTAACCTTAGACTGTCTACTGTCGACCTCACCCCTTTCTTAAGAGGTCTGTAGGAGGCATGCATAAGCGCACCAACATGCCTCCCGTCCCTGTCCTATTGTTTCTTCTATTTTTCTTATATGTACCCATTTCATGTATCCATAACTATGTATATACTTATACCTATTATCTTGTAAGCGATTGACAAATCAAAATAAATTAAATAAAATAATACAACACATGTTCATTTAATTCTGCATGAAAAGCATAGACCATTCCATTGTTATAAGTGGAAAGGAACATCCGGTAAATCAAGAGCTCTGATTGTCACTGGATGTATGAAGTTGCATGAAATGAAATCAAGCCATTGGTTCTCCTTACCCAGTTGTATCTAACTTGGCCCTGACATTAAACAGAGTGAGAAGATAGCAGAGGACAGGCTGGGAAAAGGAGAAAGTGAATGCTATTGAAAGAGCTGTATATTGAGTACAAAGAGCTGTTCATACTTCTTCCAATTGTCTATTGTATGGACCTCAAACACAACAGAAACAGATATCAAAATGAAACTAATTGGACTGTTTGTGAATATGAATGGAAGCTCACTGTAGGGACAACCTTTTCATTTGATTTAGGCAACAAACTAATTTTAAAAAGGTTAATATATAGAGTTAAAACATAACTCTTAAAAAGCAAAGGAATTAAATCTGAGACTTTCTGCAAAGAAAGCTTGTGTTCAACTTTCCTGTCTCCTGGGAGAAATCAGTTTGTAAAACTATTTAGCTGAATGTTATCTTCTATTACAGCAACATAAAAATACAGGGAAGCAGAAGGAAGATAATCCCGAGAAATGCAGGAGATCATAATCAACTCTTAGGTGGATAGAGAAATCTCATAGTAACCTTTTAATCAACTTCTGCTTAATACCAAGGACTTTAGCTTCAAGTTATGTTGTTCAAGTGGTAATAATCTTTCTTGGAGAGACCAACCTGACCTTACTGAAATTGTTTGCTTTTTTGAGAAGCACTTATATTTGGCACTTTAGCAGGAACCTCCACATTTTTTTCCACCTTTTATTGTGGAATCCTTCCTTGATGAATTTTACAAATGTTCCTTGCTTTAATTAAAAGTTTTCTTATTTCTTTCAGAATCTCTTCTAAGCCTTTATCCAAGTTGGAACTCACTCAGGTAGAATCTTCAGATCTTTAAAACATGATGACAATGACCAGAATTGGTGAAGGTGATCATGATGGCCAGCAAAGTTAACAGACTGAATTTCAAGAGAAAAATACACGAGAAAAAGAGTCTCTCATGCCATGGTACCCAGTTGCAGTACAATGTCCATACCTTCGACAGACATATTGCCAGCCATGCTAAGGGGATGATGGAAACTTAGTTCAACATATCTCAATTGAAGAAGGCAAAGATTTTATAAAAGGAAAGAGGTTCAAAATGCAGGGGTGGCTAAGGGCTCAACAGACCTTTAAAACAAAAGTGGAGCTGAACTGGAGATGGATATCTTCAGATTTTTGTAGGGTGGACAATTAAATAAAAGGCTTGTGCTACCCAGAAGACCTGAATACCAGCAGGGTCAAAAAATTCAATTTGGAAATCGCAAAAGGGGTGCGTTTTGCCTTAAGCAAGCCTGATTGGCCTACTTTATATAGCTAGCTAAATAAATCACCTAGTTATCAGAAGATAGCTGGAAATAACTTATTTCTACCCTGCTTTTGATCAGGCTATGACCCAGATTCTAACTGAAAGGGGGAAAGGAATAAGGAAAAGGAATAAGGAAGGGGAAAAGGAATGAAAGAATATCTCACACTTTTAAATGCTAACTCATTCTTTTCTCAAATAGTTTAACGAATAGTTTTCCCAGTTTAAAGTAATTCTAGATTCAATATGTGCATACTATTACTTCCAAGAAAGTACGTCTGCAATTCTATGCATTATTAAATAAGAAAAAAAAAATCTCCTACACTTAATTGGATTTATTCCTAGTATATTGCAAGCACAGAACTATTGATTAGAACTTTGTGACTCCCAGATTTTTCTTCCTGAGTTACTTCATTGACTATAATAATGAAAGGAGTGACTCACTTTATTGTGATGAGATTCATAGTGATTATAACAATTATATAACAGTAATTATAACCATTATATTCAAAACCCACAAGCACCAGATTATTTTCATATAATTTGTGGCCCTTCAAACTGCATCTGTGTTCAAATTACACATAGGAAAAGAACGGCTTTACTCAACATGTTAAGCCAAACAGTTTAAAGTTTGTGTGAATGAAAGCTAGTAAACCATATGTTACAAGTTGATAGGAAAGCTAGTTTAAACCTAAGAGCTAGACCTCATTGATTCCCCAGTAAAAGAAAAAAAAAGTGGGGGGGAGGTTATAAGGTACCAACCACCATACCTTCAGTATATCCAGTTGGGGAATTCTTACCCATCTACAAGAACTCTTCCCATAATTCAGGTTTTTGAAAAGTAGAATGAAAAATGCTTAGATCCCTTCCTACCCAAAGATGAGAAATACATAATTTTACAAAATGTTATGAATGTCTTTTTGCAGTTCTGCTAATGAGGCATGTTTTACTGAGAAATTCCCTTATTGTCTGCCATATGAACATTTGTCACACATTACGATTCTATATAGAATAGAGTAGAAGAAAGAATAGAAGAGAAGAGAAGAAAAGAGAAGAGAAGAATAGAATAGAATAGAATAGAATGGAATCAGGGGTGGGATTTTACCAGTTCGCACCTATTGGCTAGAACCGGTTGTTAATATTCTAAGCAGTTCGGAGAACCGGTTGTTAGAAGAAATTACTGGCCTAATCCTGTAAGGAAGGCAGGAAGGAAACATTCTGGTGTTGCTTACAGAAACTGCCTCTCCGTTGACCCTTATTACATTCTTGGCAGGACTAGACTTCCTGTCTCAGGAACTTCTCTGGAGTTTTTTTCCCCTCCTTCGCTGGTACTTTGCTTGTGTGGAGTGACCATTCAAAGTTACAGTGGCACTGGAAAAAGTGACTTATGACCATTTTTCACACTTACGACTGTTGCAACATCCCCACAGTCATGAGAGGCCAGACAAGGAGATGCGTGCCTCAATGTGAATGATATTGAGTTGGCCACGGCCAGCCAATAACATGACCATCAAGCCATGTCCACCAGTCACATGACCACCAAGCCACGTCCATCACCTAAGCCATGCCCACAGAACCGGTTGTTAAAAAATTTGAATCCCACCCCTGCCTTGAAGGTCTTCTAGACCAACCCCCTGCTTAGGCAGGAAACCCCACTTCAGACAAGTGGTTGTCCAATCTCTTCTTTAAAACTTCCAGTGTTGGAGCATTCACAACTTCTGGAGGCAAATTGTTCCACTGGTTAATTGTTCTGTCAGGAAATTTCTCCTTAGTTCTAGGTTACTTCTCTCCTTGATTTATATAAACCAGGCCATGTGGTTTAATCATGGTTAAGCAAACTCAGTGTGTGAACCTAATAGAGTATATCTACTTTATTACATCAATTTTGTATGTATTACAATGGTTTTTATACCATCCAACCCAGAAATCCGCTTGCTTTGTATTTATCTTTTGCATTTCAATTCTGGTATCAGATTATAGGTTTAACACCCATTCTGGAGATTACATTTCTGAAGAGGGTTATTTTCTTGCAGACTCTTCAAACTAGGTAATGGCACTGCTAGCTCTGCTGATGTTACTTAGTCTGGGTAATGAAACACCTGCAAGGAAACAATCAAGCTCAGAGACCACCAAGGATCCTTCATCTCAACCCTGAGTTTCAAATATTCTCCTTTACTGAAGAGGGTTAAGCAATCTGGCAAGCTCTGCAAATTTGGAGCATATATAAATGGAATCCATTGCCAATGACCAGGATACTTGTGATTAACTAGATTTGAAGACTAAAACATCTCAGGGGCATTAAGCTGCCTAGGCATTTTCTAGTGGCACTTTTTAACAATTTAGCCATTTAAAGCACATTTAATATTTGAGAGCTTTTGTTCCTAGCAGATAGAATCAAACTCTATTCAGACAGGAAATCCACTAGTCATAATATTTTGTCCTGTTCTTATTCAGAGAGTCATTTTTTGGGTGAACATAAGCAAGTGGAAATCAACCTTGAGCTCTTACAGAGAAGTCAAAACACAAATATAATATAAACAGGGAATAACAGGAAACATACTGTTAAAATGCCAGCATAAGGGATATTTTTTGAAAGCAAATTCTGAAGTTCAACAGTTCCTTATTTTTTAACATGTGTGAGTTGGAGAGGAAAAGAAGAAAGCAGTAGTAAGGACAAAATAATTCAGAGTGTACTTAAACTGTCACACCATGTCATGTAATTTAGTTATATGGCTAAACTATTGGTCACTGAAAATTCCTTCAAGCTGAGCTCAGCTCCTGGTGACTATGTACAAATGTTCTTTTTAAATCCCAAGTTAGCCTAAAGCCTTGGGATTTTCTTCAGAAATGTGCTGCAGACTAGTACTTTGTAAATTAGCAATGCAAGTCTTGGAAAAGATATTCAGCTGCTACAAAGATCAGAATCATGCAGACAATGTTTTTTCCCTGTGGAAGTGAAAGTTAGTCTCCAAAGAAGCAGGATAAAAGTGGTGTTGATCTTTCTGAACTTTCATGCTGGAGAAGGTCTTGAGAATACCAAGGATAGCCAAGAAAACAGGCGGGGGGGGGGGGGGGGGGATGAATTTTTGAACAAATCAATCCAGAATTCTCATTCAAGACTCAAATTATTCTATTTCACAATATGTGAACATCTAGCTCTCTGGAGAAGAATTTGAAGCTGGGAAAGTTGGAAAGAAAGAAGATGAGGATACCCAGCAGCAAGGTGAATGGACTCAGTTACAATTGTGATGGGTGCACTTTTAGAAGATCTGATGGATTAAACAGAGCCTTCTGAAGAAGGTTTCTTTATGTGATTACTAAGAGCTGACACTGACTCTTATATATAAAATCTATCCTTCCATCCATGCATCCATGCATCCATCCATCCATCTCAGGATTTTCTCATAGCTTATATTGTTCAATATCAGCAAAAGTCAAAAGAGATTATAGTATTAATCAGGTTTGTCTGGTTTACATAGAGACAGAAATCAAAAAGTTTTGGAATATCACTTTCCTCTGTTTAAATTTTACATGTTAATGTATTTCAAAGGACAAGATTAAAATATACATGAGACCTTCAGAATCTGCTGAAGAACAGACATTTGTATTTCCCAACATGCTAGCATTAGCATTTCCGTTGGATTCTTGTTTTTAAGATTTTCCATCCATTCCTTCATTCTTTTGCTAAAGAACTGTAATTAAGCTTATATAACGTAGTATTTGTTGTTAGGTGATGAAGTTATAATTCTAGCCCTTTTGATAAAGAGAACTAGATGCTTTTGGAATCTTTGAAATCTTGTACTTATAATCACACACACAATATCTCTCTCTCTCTCTCTCTCTCTCTCTCTCTCTCTCTCTCTCTCTCT